CACCACCACCACACACACACACACACACACACACACACACACACACACACACACACACACACACACACACACATACGCAACCACACACGCAGATCCGCACAACCACGCACTCATACGCAGCAACGACACTAACTCCATACAGCCACCATCATGGACCCGTATGGTGGCGGGGACAGCCCAGACTCTGACGATCGTCAGATGTCCATCGCTGCGGGTCAACGCGTGCTGGCGAGACGGCGGCGAAGTCGCCAACGCGCTGCAAGAGAACAACAGCAACAGCAGCAAACTCAGCAGCAAACGCAGCACAGCCGTGATGATGCGGGCACGTCCACATTCACGGGCCAGTCGCTCGCCTCGCTTCTGAGCCACGAGCCCGATTCATCTTACGGGGAGCAAGGGGGACAACAGTACTCCAGCGACGATGATCAACGCACAGTCGTGCCGTCCACAGAGCACTCGCCAAACCGCTCATGGGGCGACGCCGTGGATGTGCAGCTCTCCCGCAGTGACGACGACGACTCGTCTCGCAGCACCGACACCCAGCAGCAGCAGCAGCAGCAGCAACGGTTTCAGCATCTGCACCAACCACAACATCAAGAACAGGTGCAGTACGAACAACATCAAGGCCGACAACACCGCAGCGGATCGCCACTGCAGCAGCACGTGCTGTCGCCCTCGCCAGTGGCCTCCCCTGAGCGCGGCCCATCCCAACACGCTGCTGGCGCCCACGACGACTTTGATCCGGAGGTTGGCGCACTGTGTGTGTGTGTGTGTGTGTGTGTGTGTGTGTGTGTGTGTGTGTGTGTGTGTGTGTGTGTGTGTGTGTGTGTGTGTGTGTGTGTTCTGGCAGAATTGCGCACCGAACACCGTGATTACCTTATTGTTTTCTGCAGCCCAATTGATACAGTTCACACGAGCACAACGTCCCTCGCACGCCCACACTCGCACACTCACACTCACACACATGCATACTCGCACACTCACACACACACACATGCATACTCACACACACACACACACACACACACACACACACACACACACACGCATACATACTCATTCACTCCCTCACACACGCGTATCACACACGCGTATCACAGATGTGGAATATCCAGCGGCAGGCGTCGCTGCGGCGCCGCATCAACAAGAGTGAGAACATCTACAAGGGCGCCGACAAGCTCTCAAAGGAGGTACACACGCGTGCGTGTGCATGTGAGAGCATGTGTGTGTGTGTGTGTGTGAGCGTGTTTACAGCCCTGATAAGCAGTTGACAGTGAGGCGCAATCCCAAAGCTCAAGCAGCTGCTCACTATAATGCGCTCACACCACGGGTCCAATCACTATCCTATGCACACACAATCATACGCACACGTGACATGAACCATTCTCTCCCTCTCTCTTTGATGTGTGCGCGCTCGTGTGCAGGTGGCAAAGGATACGCGCAAAGATCTGCAGTACACGATGAAATACATGCGCGAGGACATTCGCCGGACAGAAAAGGTGCGATGATAATGGTGGTGGCGTTGGTGGTATTGATGGTGGTGATGGTGGTGTTTTGCTTTGTGTTTGAGGCGCGCACACGAAGCATGCATGCATGTGTGCGCGTGTGTTTGTGTGTCCGCGTTGCGACTTTCGCTTATGAGCGGGTGCTGCTTGCTCAAAAGTGCATGCATATTTTCTCTCACGCGCGTAACCTCGCCCCAACCACCATGCCACAACAAACCTCACACACACACACACACACGCGCGCGCGCGCGCACACACATACGCACACTTACACATACATTCACACACACATACACACATTCACCGCCACAGGAGCTGGAGGATGTGGAGCGAATTGAGTACGCGTCATTTGACGAACTGCAGCGGCGGCTGTCAACGGAACTTCGCAAGCTCGAGGGCGCACGCAACCTTCGGCAGGTGCTGATGGTACAGCACCCTGAGCGAACAGCAGAGCTGGCGGAGGTGGAGAAGCAGATTCGCAATGCGCAGAGCGCTATCCGCGCCATCGAGGCCAGCATGCAAGGCGATGATGAGTCGTGGGAGGACGAGGACGAGGAGAAGGAGCACGCAGACACGTTTGACGTGCACGACGTCCCAAACTACCAAGACGCAAACGGCGGCAGCCACGCGCAGACAGCAGCAGCAGCAGCGACATCAACATCGCCGCTGCCGGGGGACGTGTCTGGCGCCTCTGCATCTGCACACAGCCTCCTTGGCGAGTCCCACAACTCGTCCACCAGCGCATTTGCGTCATCAAATGCGTCGCACTGGTCTGAGAGCGGCACCAACCCCGCCCTCGGCGCGTGGGTGGACAGGGATGAGGAGGCACTGGGGGACCTGCGGGCACGCATCCAGCGCGCGCTTGCGCTGACAGAGGCAGAGAGCGCACATGAGGAGATTCAGGGGCTGGGCGCACTGGCCAGCAAGCTGCTGCAGGAGCGAGAGGACTTGAAGCAGCAGCTGGCGCGGCTGCAGCACGGCGCGCAGGCGGAGAAGAAGCGGGCAGAGGACGCCGCCAACGACGAGAACAACGAGCTACTCAGGATGGTGGAGGATATGCAGGCCGAGCAGGACACCCTGCAGCAGCAACTCGACTCGTACAAGGCGGAGACAGTGATGCTTGTTGACCACCTCAAGTCAGATCCCGACGGCACGCTCGTCCTCACCCACCGTGAGCTGCACGCCGTGTACAGGTGCACCGTTGACGCCCGCACGGAGCGCGCACAGCTGCAGCGGGCGCTGGAGACGTTGCGCAAGGACGTTTCATCCCTGGAGCAGGACGTGCTGGACCGAAACGGGCAAGTGGCCCGGCTCAGCGACGCCCTCAGCGCAGCACGGAACAACCTGCACATGACGCAAACCGACAAGACGCAGCTGGAGCACGTGCTCGCCACAACAAAGGAGGAGCTGCTGACGGTGCAGGAATCCCGCGCCGCTGCCGGCGACGCCCTCTCCTCCCTTCAAGCGGACATGGACGACATGCGTGCGCGCCTGGCCGAAGAGCAGCAGCGCACGCGCGCACTGCAGGAGGAGCTGGATGCTGCGCGTGCCGGCGCCTCTGACAGCGCAGCCGCACAGGCTGTGGCGTGGGAGGACGAACGCCGTGCCTTGCAACAGGAGCGCGATAAACACGCCGAACATGCAAGGCGGGTGCAGAAGGAGCTGGCTGCCATGGAGCAGGAGGTGCTCGCACAGGCCACCAGTGTACAGCGCTCGCAAGAAGAGATGCGTGACCACGTGACCAAGCTGGAGACCGAGCTGTCTGCCCTGCGGCAACGCCACACGGAGCTGCAGGCGCAGTACGAGGACGCACAGGCAAGCCTCGCCAACGCACAACAACAGCAGCAGCAGCAGCAACAACAACACGAGCAACATCAACAGCAGCAGGCCGACAACAGCGTCAACAACAATGACAGCATGCGGGGCGGTTCTGAGTTGGATGCCACGTGGCAGGAGCAAAAGACAGAGCTCGAGCAGCAGCTGCGTGCGATCCAGCAAGAGGCTGACCGCTACAAGCACGCGTCGGAGGAGGCAGAGGCCACGCTTGCTGTGACGCGCAAGGAGCTGGAGAGCGCCCGCCACCACGCCGCACACATGCGCACGCGCGACCGCACGTCCTCTGCACACAGCTCGTCCACGCAGCACACGGCCGAGCTGTCCCTGCCAGAGCCGCTGGCCACCAACCACCGCAATTGGGTGCTGGGCATGCAGCACATGATGAGTCAGGACAAGCTGCGTGCCAAGGACCTGTTTGATCGCCTGGACAGCCACGGGCGCGGGTACCTGCAGCTGCGTGATTTCGAGCGCAGCCTCAAGTGGATTGACCTGAGCATGTCTGACCGGGAGCTGCGTGACCTCTTCAACCACATTGACCACAACAAGGACTCGCGCATCGACTCGGACGAGTTCAAACGTGACATCAAGTACAAGTACAACAAGTCCCGCCACGACTACCATGGCCCTGAGGGTCACGCCCTGGGCGCCGTCCGCATCACGCCGAGCCAATCAGAGGACTCGGACGCGTTTAGCATCGACCTGGACCAGCTGTCCACCGTGGACCAGTACCACACCGCCCTGCAGCGCGCGCTGTCCCGCCTGCAACAGCTGGAGCGGCAGCAGCGGCACGCACTTGACAGTGAAGATGGCAGCTCCCACGCGCGGTCGGCGTCACCATCCACCACAGGTGGAGGCAGCGGCACGGGTGACGGGAGCAACGTGCAGCGGCTGGAGCGGGAGAACCACGCACAGCGCAGCGAAATCAACTCGCTCAAGCAGCAGCTGCGGGATCTGCAGTTACAGCTGGACGAGGAGGCTGCGCGCAACCTCAACATGTCTGCAGACATGCGTCAGTTTGATGAGTCCATCAACGCCAGCTTCCGCAGCCCGGCCGAGCTGCGCATGGAGAATGCGCGACTGGCGCAAGAATTGGAGGAGGCCAAGGCCGCGGTGGAACAACTGTCCACCGCGCGCCAACGCCTGGAGGTACAGCACAAGGCGTACAAGCAGCAGATTGGCGACTTGGAGCAGGACGTGAAGCTGTACGGGGACGACGCAAAACGCCGCGATGCACACGAGGCGCAGATGGAGGCAGACATTGAGGAGCTGCGGGAGCAGATTGCCCAGCTGGAGAGCGAGAAGACGGCTGTTGGCCGCACGCTCGCACAGGCGGAAGCACGGCTGGCGGCACAGGCTGAGGAACAACGCATGACCGCAGCAGATGCACAGCGCACGCTGGAGCAGACGCAGCGACGGCTGCAGGAGGCCGAGGCAGAGAAGGACACACTGCAGGCACGCGTGCGGGAGGAAGAGGAGCGTGCGGCGCGCCTGAAGCAGCAGCTTGCTGACATGACCGACCAGTTCCAGGCAGCAAGCACGCGCGCAGAGGAGACGGTGCAGTCGCAGATGCAGCGCGACCAGGAGGTGACGCAGCTGCGGGAACAGCTGGCCAAGGCGAAGAACGAGGCGCAGGTGGCCCAAACACGCCTCAACGCAGAACAACAGCGAGCAACGGCGCTGCAGGCCGAGAACGACGGGTTTGTGCGGCAGCTGAAGGAGAAGCAACGCGAGATTGAGCAGCAGCAGGCAGACATGCGCACCATGTACGACGAGCACACAAAGGTGCTGGCGCGCTGCGAGGTGCTCACCAGCCAGGCCGACGGGCTGGAGCTGGACAAGGTTGCGCAATCGGAGGACATGGACAAGCTCAAGGCGCGCGTGGAGGCGCTGGCGCAGGAGGCCGAAGACAAGAAACGCGAGGCGCAGCGGCACCAGGAGGAGTTGAAGCGCGTGATCCAGGCAAAGAACGAGACGGCCACCGAACGCGACCTGGTGCGCAAGCAGCACGAGGACCTCTCCCGGCGGCTGGCGGACCTGCAGGCGCAGTACGACGGCTTGCAGGCTGACCACGACGCAGCGCTGGCCACGTGCGATGAGCTCAAGCGCAAGCTCACGGCCGCGGAGGACCAGGCAGCCAAGGCACGGGAGCAGGTGCGTGGTGCTGAGGAGCGTGCTGCCTCCCTTGATGAGAAGTGCACGCAGCTGCGCAGTGCAGAGCATGCAACGCACGACAAGCTGTCGCGTGTGGTTGAGGAGCGGCAGCAGCTGCGTGATGACTTGGAGCAAGCGGTGCAGCGGGCAGAGCGAGCCGAGCGCGACGCACAGGACCTGCGCAACGACGTGCGGGCGGCGCGGCAGGAGCGAGACGACCTGTTGAAGGCACTGGATGAGGCAAAGTCGAGCAGCAGCGAGGCGCAGCAGAAGGTGCAGGAGGCCGAGCGCGCTGCCAGGGACGCGCTTGCTGCGCGCGTGCAAGAGCTTGAGCAGCAGAAGGACGAGGAACACAAGCGGTGGCAGCGTGAGGTGAGCGAGCTGCAATCCACGCTGGCAGAGCAGCGCGGAGAGGCGCGCCAGCTGCAGGCCTCGCTGCGACAAGCAGAGGACAGGCTGTCCGCCAGCATTGAGGAGCGAGAGCGCCTCAAGCACGAGCTGCAAGAGGCGGAGTCTCGGGCCGAGGGCGCAGCGGCAGCCACACGCACCGCTGAGCAGGATCTTCGGGAGCAGGTGGCCCGTGCTGAGGAGCGGTGCAAGCAGCTGGAGGAGGAGCAGCAGGCGCTGCGGGACAAGTGCAAGAAGGCCGAGTCCGCCGTGGCCAAGCGCGACGCGCTGCACTCCAACAAGGAGGCCATGTACGCCAAGCAGATGGAGGGCTTCCAGTTTGAGACGCAGCAGTGGCGCGCGCGAGCAGAGACATATAGCTCGCAGCTGGATGAGTTGCGGGCACAGCTTGCGCAGCGGCAACAGGAGTATGACACGCTCGCCCAGGAGAAACGCGCCGCCGCCACTGCTGCTGCCAGTGATGCAACCGGGTCCACAGGTACGGTGCAGCAGCAGGAGTATGATGACGCGATGAACACGCTCAAGGACACGATGAAAGAGCTCGAGAAGGCCAAGGTGGAGGTTGCGCGGCTGGAAGAGGCGGTGGCGTTGCGCCAGCGCGCGATTGAGGAGCGAGACGGCCGACTGGAAGACGTGGAGCGGGAGCTGGTGCACCTGCGAAGTGAGGTGGCCACGCTCGATGCAGACCTCTCACTGAAGAACTCGTACATCGAGGACCTTGAGGCGGCAGTGAAGGATCGCAGAGGATACGCGTCCTCCACGGGCCGCCAGTCTGCCACGTCGCTCGTGTCGTCTGTGCCGGGGGTGGTGTCGCCGTCATCGCGTGCTGACTCATCGCCCTCGCAGCACACAGAGCACTCGCCACCGGCCTTTGCACACGAGCGCGCTGGCCGCAGCGGCGTTGGTGGTGGTGATGGTGTTGGCGGTGGTGATGGTGTTGGCGGTGGTGGCGCCAGCAGCACGGACGATGAAGTCGGTGGTGCGCAGGTGACGGCTGCGGGCGAGGGCCAGCGGAAGCGCGGTCCACGCCGCCCACGTCCGGGCTACCCTTCCTCAACCGCCATGACGCCCTCAACGACGACAGAGGCGTACCGCGACCCAAGGTACGTGCCCGCGGAGGAGGCGCGCGTTGCGCAAGAGGAGCGTGATCAGTACGAGCACAGGATTGCGGGCCTGAAGGAGCAGGTTGTGAAGCTGAGGGAGGCGCTGCAAGCTGCACGCGCAGAGGTGGACACGGTCACCCGCAACCACGACCTGCACATCCAGCACTCGGAGGCGCGCGTGAAGGCGCTCAACGACGAGCTGGCGACGCAGCAGGCGGAGTATACGCGCGAGCTGGAGCTTGAGAAGAAGAACCACAGGCAGGATGTCGATGCGCTGGAGGCGAAGCTGAAATCGCAGGTTGAGCGGCACGAGGAGGCGTGCAAGGGTCTCAAGTACCGCATCTCCGCAGACGGCAAGGAGCTGTCCACGCTCAAGCGGCGGCTTGATGAATCGCAGAACTCCCTCAACGAGCTCATCCAGCAGGAGCTGCGGACAGTGCAGCACCTGCGCGCGTTTGTGGCCTGCCACGACTACCGGCCCATGGAGGTGCACGACGGGTGTGACCGCAGCACCGAGCTGCCGTTTGACCAGGGCGACCTGGTGTATGTGGTTGGCAGCGCAGACACGGACGGGTACTTTGAGGCGATTGTGCCTGGCCGCCGCGGCCTCGTGCCCAGCAACTACGTGGAGGAGCTACAGCTGAGCAGGGACGAGCTTGTGCGCAGCGCGCAGAGCAACAAGCCGCTGTGGAACTTTGTGATTCGCGAGGAGGACGAGAGCAGCGACAAGGCAACGACGTTGGCACAGCCGCCAAACGCACGCGCCTATGAGGGTGGCGGCCACGGCGGTGGTGATGATGAGGCAGTTGCCGCTGGAAGGCAGGAAGAGGAGGCCAGGGAGCAGCAGCGACAGCTGCGGGCGGCCAGGATTGAGCTTGAGACGCTGCGTGCTGAGCAGAAGCGCCTCATGCACGACAAGGAGGACCTGCTCAACAGGATGGAGGTGCTGGATCTGGAGAACGGCAGGCTGCAGGGCGACGTGTCTGCCCTGTCGGCGCAGCTGACAGCACGCGCGCACTCGGACGCGGACAGCGGCGTGAACAACGAGAGCACGGAGGCACGCGCCGCTGTTGTGCGGTTGGAGGAGCGCCTTGCAAACGAGGAAGAGCTGTCACGACAGTACGGCAAGCAGCTGCGCCTGAAGCAGCAGGAGCTGGAGCGACACCAGCAGCGCGTGTCCGAGCTGGAGCAGCAGCAGCTAGCGGCCGGCCACGCTGGCGAGGAGCAGCGCGGGGCCCTGCAGAAGATGGCGGTGGCGATTCAGGACCTGGAGAAGCAGGTGGCAAAGCACAGGGCGGAGGCGGAGGATGCCACGGAGCGGGCGGCCCACGCCAACGACGCGCTGCGGCGGGTGCGGCGCGAGATGAAGGAGCAGCTCGAGAAGAAGGACGGCGAGCTCAAAGCGCAGCAGGAGGTGCTGGACATGCTCAGCAAGTCATACTCGGACAACATGACGCGCGACACACCCACACACGACGGCGGCAGTGATGGCCGCGGTGGCCGACAGCACAAGTCGCAGCAGCGGCGCATTCGCGAGCTGGAGGACATGTTGCATGCCAGCCGGGCGCGCAACGACCACCTGGAACGCATGCTTGATTCCGCACACGCGGAGCAGCAGCGCATGACGGCTGAGATGCTTGATCTTGAGTCGCGCTACATTGTGGAGAGCATGGATCACGGCAAGCAGGAGGACAAGGCAGACGCGGGCCGGGCTGGCCGTGGTGACGATGGCGCTGATGGTGCTGATGATGAAGGTGCTGTACGCGGAAAAGGCGCCGGCAATCTGTTTGACGACTTGCGCCAAGAGCAAGCCGGTGGTGCCCAGGCAATGAACAAAGGAGAGCAAGACGAGGAAGACGAGGAAGATGAGGTGGTGAAGGCGCGTCACGAGTACTCTGTGCAAGGCCGTGTCTCTGACGACAAGTATCGTCTCCAACAAGGGCTGCGTCGCCAGCGCGAGCGTGGTGAAGGCAGCTTGCGCGGTGTGCCCATGCGCGCACTGTCACCAACGTCGTCGCTGTTTGTGGAGCGGCGGGCGTTGTCGCAGGTGTCGACGGAGCGCTCTGTGTCGCCGTCGGAGGCGCTGCGTGCCGAACTCGAGGCAGAGGCTGCGGAAGAAGAACAGCAGCAAAAGCAGCAGCAGCAGCAACAGCAGCAGGAAGCGCGTGGCACAACGCGGTCAACGAGCGCGGCAAGCAGCGAGCGGGATCCACAGACGCGGGAGTTCCTGGCAGAGATTCGCAAGCTGCAGGAGGTGCTGCATGAGAAGGAGCAGCACGTGAGCTACCTCGAGCATGAGCTCGCAGCACTGCAGAAGAAGGTGGCGAGTGGCGAGGGCGAGTCCTCGAGCAGTGACGACGCCGGTGCTGGTGCTGGTGCCGATGAAGCGGTGGCGGTCAAGGTGCGGTCGCTGCAGTCGACGCTTCAGCAGCTGACAGCGGAGAACACGGAGTTGCAGGACCAGCGCAACCGCGCGCGCTCGCTGATTGTGAGCCTGAGCACAGCCATGCACGACACGGCAGCGCGGGTGCAGCACCTGCACACGTCGCGCCATGTCGAAGCAGTTGATGACGAGGCGCTGGCAACAGACGTGCAGGCGGTCGTGCGCAGCATGGAGCGTCTTGAGGCTGCGTACACACAGGGCATTGAGTTTGCCAACGGCCAGCGCGATGAGCTTGTGATTCGCCTGCAGGAGCTGCATCAGCGCGCACTGCAGCTTGAGGAGGACCTTGAGCGGGCAGAGGACCGAGCAGCGGCAGCAGCCAAGGCGAGACAGGCCAGCCAGGACGACGTGACGCTGGCGCGACGTGCAAGCGTGCAGCTTGAGCGGGAGCGGGATGCTGCTGCTGCGTCTGTGAGGGAGGCTGAGGCGCGCGCAGTGGACCTGGAGGCAGAGCTGAAGGCCGTGCGTGCTCAGCTTGAGGACACGCGGGCGACACTGCAGGCGCGCATTGACGAGCTGACATCCTCGGCGGCAGCGGCGTCGGCGCAGCATGCACACGAACTGCAGGAGGCACAGCAAAAGTTGGCAGAAGCAGAGGAGCAGCTGCGTACGGAGCAAAATCGCACACGCGAACAGCAGGAGGGGACGGCCAAGGAGATTTCGGACCTGAAGCAGCGGCTGGACGACGAGTTGGAACAAAAGGCGCAGCTGCAGGCGAAACTGACAGAGCACATCACGCTTGTTCGCGCCACGCTGGAATCGCAGCAGACATCGTCGCACAGGTGGAACGACGAAGAGGAAGAGGATGAGGAAGATGAGGATGTGATCGGAGGAGAGGGTGGCGGTAGGAGAGCGAGGGGAGCAACGGGCGATGAAGATGAGGACAAGATGGAGGAGGATGAAGAGCACGTGCGACGTCTCACAGCTGAGCGCGCACGCCGACGTGAGCGGGTGTCGGCGTTGGCAGCGCGGTTGCAAGTTGAAGACGCCGCCCTGCACATCCTCGACGAATCGCAGGACGACAGAATACTCGAAGGTGTGTTTGGTTTGTTGGTTTGTTGGTTGGTTGGTTGGTTGGTTGGTTGGTTGGTTGGTTGGTTGGTTGGTTGGTTGTTTGTTTGTTTGTTTGTTTGTCTATGTTTGTAACTGCTTCATTGCACACCCACTTCCTCCTCACTTGTCCCCCTCCAACACACACGCACACATACAAACGCGCGCACGCATACGCTTCTGCTTGCAGAGTTTGACAAGTTGATGGAGCTCGTGAACCGGGAGCTGGCGGACACGCGCAAGCTGAAGCTTGAGCTCAAGGCGTACCGGCGACGCGTGCAGTCTGAGGAGACATCGCTCGCACAGGAGAACAAGGACCTGCACACGCAGGTGATGACGCTTGAGGGCCGGCTGCGCAGTGTGCTGGAGGACATGCGGCACCAGACGCGTGAGCACGACGACACGATGCACCGCTTGCAGGCGCAGCTGGAGAACGCCAACACGAAGATCAGGCGGCTCGACGGCGCGCTTGCCGACATGCACGCCGAGGTGTCCCGCATCCACCTTGCTTCGTCGCAGCAGGGGCAAAGCAGCATGCCTGGCAGCCCGCTGCGCTCGAGCACAACCGACCGCGCGGGCCAGGTGCTGCGCGACTTGCGGGCGCTGCAGTCGACGTACGCGCGCGTGGAGAGCGAGAACCGCGAGCTGCAGTCGGAGGTGCGACGCTTGCGACAACACATGCAGCAGACACACACGGTTGTGAAGGACGCACATGCTTTGCGCTCTGAGGTGCGGGAACACCTTCGCACGCCACTCAAGCACGCACGACAGCTGGACGAGCTGATGCGGGCGGAAGCGGACCTTGCTTCCGACGTGGACTGCCGCTCACACAAGACGCCTGAGCTGGACAGGTTCATGCGTGCAAGCATGCGCGAGTCTGTTGTGGGCGGTGCCGGCGAGAAGGCGCCGGAGGACGTGTTGGTGTTTCTGCGGGAGGAGCTTACGTCCTACCAGAAGATCTTTGAGGAGCTCAGCAGCACGACGAGCCTGCAGGCACGCATCATCGACCAGCTCATGGCAGACAAGCGCGAACTCGCAAGAGACAGGTGTGTGCGTGTGTGTGCGTGTCTGTAAGCGTTGTGTGTACGTGTCTTAAGCGTTGTGTGTGTGTGTGCGCGTGTCCGTGCAATTGTGTGCTTTGGCGGGCCGGCTTGCCAATGTCGATGACTCCAACTCACACACACAACTCTTCTCTTCACACATGCAAATCAGGGCGGCCACAACACGCGAGCCGCTTCGCGACGTGTCCAACAGTGGCGAAATGCACAGCAGCGACCAGCGACCCGGTGACGGTACGCTGCGTGCATCAGACCTCACCCAGCAGCACCAGCACGCACAGCGCTCAAGCACCGGCAGGGAGCTGCTCCGTGAGACGCACCACCACTACTACTACGATGCGGGCACGCGCACCATGCCTGAGCGGGGGCGCGGGCCGACAGCTGTGCACAGTCGCCAGCAGGAGGCGGACGCCGCTCTCATCAAGGACGTGCAGCGCTTGCACGACCAGCTCACGTCAAAGGAGAAGGTGCGGTTCAGTTTGTGTGTGTGTGTGTGTGTGTGTGTGTGTGTGTGTGTGTGTGTGTGTGTGTGTGTGTGTGTGTGTGTGTGTGTTTGTTTGTTTGTGTGCGTGTTTGGTTGTTTGTTTGTGTGTGTGTGTGTGTGTGTGCGTTGTTTGTTTGTTTGTTTGTCTCGCTTTGTCTTGTTGTGCAGGCTCCCGCTTGTGTTGTAGTTCTATACAGCACGTATCCCCCACTCACAGTCGTGACCCGTTTCATGCCAATGCATCACCCTACGTTGCGTCGAAACCCACGCAGGAGCTTGCACGAGTGCAGCGTGACTTGTTGCAGCACATGGGCCTGGTCTCCGAGCAGACGACGGTGATTGAGCAGCTTGAGAGCGTGCTCAAGTCGCGTGAGCACGACCTCAAGCGCGCAAAGGAGCACAACAACCGCGCGCAGCTGGAGGCCAAGACGCTTCGCCACGCCGTTGTTGAGCTTGAGACCCGCATCACGTCGGCTGAGGAGGCGTACAAGGTGTCGCAGGACCACTGCGTTGTTGCTGACAGGCGCGCGCGTGACTTGGAGGCGCGACTGATGGAGAAGGAGCGCGAGCTGCGTGAAATGCTGACTCAGACCATTCGCCGTGAGCACGGTGGCGGTTCCGTCCACTCTCCATCATCGTCATCACCGCTCTCGTCCAAAACAACCACGACAGCAGCAACAACGGCGGCAACATCGCACGAGCTTCGTGTGCAGACGGAAAAGGCAAACAAGTACCGCCTCAAGTACATTCGCGCAGAGAGTTTCCGCAAGGCGCTTGTGTACCAGAAGCGCTATCTCATTCTTCTGCTCGGCGGCTTCCAGGAATCAGAGAGCGCGACGTTGCGCGCCATTGCACAACTTGGCGACCTATCAGAGTCGACGCTCAGTCCCCTGCGTCGCCAGCAGCAGGACGAACACGGCCATCACCGCCATCGCCGCCATCATCATCATCATCGTGGCGAGGAGGAGGAGGAGAGTGGTCTGCGCCGGTTCAAGCGGGCAGCGCTTACTGTTCGCGCTGCCGTTCGTCTGCGTCTTCTCAGAAAGCAGTGGCAGGGAGCGCGCGAGAAGCTCTCACGCGTGCCCTAGCTTCTGTGTGTGTGTGTCTGTGTGTGTGTGTGTGTGTGTGTGTGTGTGTGTGTGTGTGTGTGTGTGTGTGGTGGTGTGAGGGGGATCAAGAAGAATTAAAGTTGGAGGAAGACACAAGTGCAGTTCAAGTGCACACACAACAGTCGCGATCACACACACACACACACACACACACACACACACACACACACACACACATACACACACACACACACACGCACGCACGCACGCACGCACGCACGCACGCACGCACGCACGCACACGCGCACATAGAGTCGCACCTTTGCCGCCTGGTTCTCCGGTTCCCATGTTGTTGACGAGGAGGTCGATGGCACCCTCCTCTTCGACCGCGCCGGAAAAGGTTTGCATCGCAGCCGCCTCCGAGGCCATGTCGGCCTGCACAAAGCGACAGCGCTCCTGCAGAACGGCACATGGTGTGCAGTGAGCGTCGAAGGACAGGGAAGAGGGGCGCGACAGCACCGCAAACACAAGCAGACCACAAACACGCGTGTGTGCATACACATAACACACGCACGCACCAGTCCAAGCTCAGCTTGTAGTTGATCTCCATGCTCCTTGCCCCGGCCGAAGAACACCACACGTAACCCCGCAGCGTGGAGCCGCTGTGAGGAAGGCAAGCACGACACGTACACGCATGCACATGTGAGGGACAAGCAACTCGCATCAATCATAGGAGGTGCACACACACACACACACAGACAGACACACACAGACAGACACACACAGACACACACACACACACACACACACACACAGACACACACACACACACACACACACACACACACACACACACACATACACACACACACCACACATGGGCGGGCCGATGCCCTCGTGTGGCCGGCCAGGTGACAAAAGCAAAAAGGCAACTCGGCCTCCCTT